AACGGTTTGACCTCTTTGCAACAGTTAAATTAGTTCTAATAAATGCGGCTATATTATAATGATATTACATTTTCGTGAAATGAATTCTCCCGGTGTTGTTTATTTATCTGTTTTTCCACCTCCTGGCCACTAACTGAATCTCTCTTTAACAGCAGCGTTTCCTCATTTTTATTTTACACAGGTGGACGTGGAAATTAGAATAAATATTTCGCTGACCGACTGACAAAATTTGTAAACACAATTTTTTTTTCTATGTGCCATTGATAGATGGGATAACACAATACTGGCACTCGGTGTCTGTGTGTTGCGCTTATACTTCTGGCACTATATTGTCGCGTGCAGCGTCTTTCTTAACCGCAGCAATGCAGCACCTGAATAGTTAATTAGTTAGTCGTTACGGTTCCCGCATCACAGCAAACGAGCTTGGCTCATAATTGAGCAACCGCCTATGCCAGTGATTCCAGTCACAAACTGAGTCAGAAACGCTGGATACTTCCAGTGAATGCCGTAGCATTACAAAGTGTCCTCAGTCAGCAAAATACACACAATTTGATCTGGCAAACCATAAGGTGCTTGCCTCCTTAAACACACTGCAAGACCAGGCGTCATCACTGAAAATCAACTCCATTCGACGAATAGCTGGGCAATGAGTAGATTAAAACGATTCCTGACCATTTTCCACAAGTCCTCGGCGAAGTTGCAGCCACGGCCAGCAAATAAATAGCAGCTATAGCACACGCCTTGTCTCAGGAACACAACGAAGAAAAACACATCACCCATCATTGCCATTATGTACGAATCTGCAACTCAGTCAATAACCGATAATCACAGCTCACAGTGCCGCAAGGAGCATTAAACGCAGTAGCTCCGGATGCAAAACGCACTTTCACAATCTTGCAACATTAAAATTGGAGGAAAAACAGCGACAAGAACGGTCAACATAAGCCAATTTCTCAAACGTCATCCATTCCCTATCTATGTCGGAACCGGAAGTTCGCACCCGCATCATACAACCATAAATGAGCAGGCCTTTTTTAGCGGACTGCTAGTAAATTTTGACGAACAAGAGGCTTAAGATCATGGCTTTATGTGACTGTTATGGTTTAGCATCAGCAAAGGTTGATTGTTGTGTGGTTTGGAGGCAGTAACAGCAGATTTCCAATCGCTTGAGAGCAGTACAGCCCAGCATGTTGCGATTGTAACAGACTCACGGAGCACACAGCATGTTTTTGACAATTGAAACTGGTTTTCTGTGCCCAAAGTGGCTTGCATCGCTTTATTTTTTGTGTGTGCTCAAGTATCCAGAAACCATGAGCTGGTAACCCTTTGTCTCGGAACTATGGATATCGCAACCCTTCGGCATTGATTCCATGATAGATGCTGTAAATCTGGGAGACATGTGGCTTTTCTGCCTACCCCGGGCTCGAACGCGGACCACAAGGAGTTTGTGAACCGATCGCCGCGAAGTCAGGTTTAACCAACTACGCTAGCCAGCATGATCAAAACCATATCAGGATTTTTTGTCTAGGATATTCAGGTGTGCGATGTAACGAGCAGGCTGACAGATTAGCTGCTGTCGCCCCTCTTGAGGTTGAGCTACTTTATGACAAAGCGTATGTAAGGTCTCTATGGGATCAAATGGACAGTGCAAAAGAACAGATAGGGCAATCCATACACTGAACGACTGATTCAACAGAGGATGTGTAGAGGTTTTGCGAGGTATTCAACACTAAAGGGGAGATAAAGGCAGACATTTAATCAGGTTGTCAGCTCTTCGTTAGCTACTAAAGAAGGGGACAGAGCACGTGTGGGAAGGTCCCAAAAACAGTGGTGTGATTTCTTATTCCTTTGATTTATGCATTCATGGTTTTACTAGGCGATGCTACGTACAAGAAGTATAAATTTAAACATAAAATGTGACTACAAAAATCATTAATTTAGATGTTATGTTCAATGTGTGTGCTTGTATGTGTGTATGTTTATATAACTTAGTCTTGGTCGAGGATTCAACTTCACTGCAATCGGGTTTTCCCCATACTTGCTCCGTTCCTATGCCAGTGAAAATCAAATGAAATGTTGCTCACTGTTCCATTTGAAAAACTGCTGATCAAACGCATTGCTGAAATATGCGTACGCACTAAATGCTTATGGCATTTGTCAGAGAAGCCAGTCGCCACTACAACCGCTGCATAAATAAAGGCATTTCACGCGAGAAGCACAGCTCACAGTTTTACACCAAGCACTAACTCGGTAGCTTAGACAGCGAAACCGTAGACTTCCAATCATTCGTGGAAACTACATTGGGAAAGCACTGTCGGAAGCAAAATAAATTCGAAGCTAAAGATTCTGTGATATATAATCCTCCCTTTTAGACCGGAAGTTTTCAGAAGATTATGAAACTTACTTTTCCTAACCTAAAGCCACAGACGGTACCCTTTTATGTTACAACCCCTTAGAGAAAAATGCAAGAAGAAACAACAGAAAAAAGTGGTGAAGCGAAGAAAGCAATATGTTAGTTTGTTTAATCTTCAGGCATGGCGTCATTTGACGCATTTTCCGGTATCCTTGACCCAGAACAGTTGTCACTTAAGATGGCTGGCAATACTCTACTGGTTGAACCGTAAACAGTCTTCACAGGCGTTCATCTCGTCACGGAAGAGCTCCACCTGAATGGTGGTGAAGTGTACTTGGTGCTTGTCTTGTATCAGCCTGGTGGCGGCGGCAAGCACCTCGTCGTGCTGGTGCAGATGTTCTGGCGATAGGCCAAGGAAAAGTGGGTACATTTTACGCTGGTCTCCCCATTTACATATCGCTACACACTAGCTCGCTTCTGACTGGACGACCTAATGACCCCCTCACTTCTTGAGCGATCCGACTTTTACACAAGGTCACGGGGATATTCCGCGCTCGCCCTGATACCACATGTTGTATATGTCACCATGCCAGAGCTTCTAACAATTCTAAAACATTTAGATACTAACACACAACCCCTCTAGAGAGTGACAAAACCTATGTCACAGGCCGCCTCTTTCTCGAAAATAAAAACGTAAATGCAGACAACAGACTGCCACACCCATAACCTCGACCACAGTAGACTAATCCAACCAACTTTTAAAGGGAGTTGACCTACAACCGGTGGTGTGTAAAAGGGGAAACCATCGTATAAGTAACCGAAAAGTGTCTTGAGTTGGTATCTAATAGCAAAGGACCATTTTCACCAGAAGTGCATGGCAACTACATAAATTACAACGGCAACTTATACGCCTGTGTAAGCCTGTGTGGTGTAGCAGCTAGACAATCGCCTGCAGATCCGAAAGTCTTGGGTTCAAATTTTAATGGGCACAGTCTTAATTTGGTCAAGTCATGGGAACTAAAAGTGACAGGTGTGAAGTTAAACACATTATTTTCAAATTGCAGATTAGCCTACTGAGTAGAGGTCTGGGACTATAAACCCAATAGGTCTGAAGGCGTAACAAATTGGCTTTTTCTTTACGTTTACTGTCAGGAAAGTAGTGTATCATGTGGATTGTAACAATCATGTATAGGGTGTCTTCTAAACACCACTGGCCCATCTGGTATACAATGGTAGGCCAGAACAAACTTTGTTTTCAGATAGAACAATCAACACGCATCGAGGGATCTTGTCGACACCATACTGACTGCCTTTGATTTCCAAGTAATTTCTTCGTATCCATTTTAACATAGGACGTCATGGGAACCAAGGTGAATTGGGGAAAAACCCAACACGTCGCGCATCTGAACCCAGCAACTGTGATTGAACTGCTCGCTCTATGTATAGTTGTGTATCCTTTACAGGACGTTGCAGAACCAACCCCAACAGCCCCTGGCTATTATGTGGTTTCTCTAGGCATATTACATCCAGTAGTTTGCCATTGCTTACTGGACGGTCGGCTTTCTTGATTCCACTGTCGAAACCAACGCAAGGCGCATTGCCCGCAGCTGGGATCGAACCTGGCATCCCGGCATTACGAAGCGAAGCGTTCGCATCGACTTAGCCACAGAGCCGACGGTGCTCGCTCTATATTCATATGAATTAACAGCTGTCATACATAGTCTGTAGTCGCCGTGGTCTAGCTGCCAGGCCCTCGCCTACGGATCGGAAGGCCGTGGGTTTGGGTCCCGACGGAGCCAGACATTTTATTTTATTTTTTAAAATGACTTTGACTCCAAGGGCGGCCCAACCCTGAGTGGGTACCAGGGACACGCCCTGGGAAGTAAAAGCAAGTGGCGGGATGCTGACCACGTCATCCACCAAGTGCAGCTTGGTCTCTAACATATGTCTAGCCTTATATACCTAAGGATTGGGGAAAAAGTCTTAAACTTTTTTTTAGCCTACATATTGTGTGTTCTATCTGTTCGTCGTGCTTTTAGGCTTCTTTTAAGCCACATCTGTGCAGGTGGGCCCTGGAACATGGAAATAAAAAGAGGCGGGGGGGGGGGGGGGTTGGGAGACTGTCAGTAATTCTGTAATACTACGGGCCCTCTTTAAGCCATGAATAAAAATTATTTTTAAAAATATTTTTTTTTTCGTTTCATATTATTTCACGTCTATTGTTATAATAATTTACAAGCTGTTATTTCCTTTTGCTTCTTCTTTCTATTCTTCTTCTTCGTTTTCTTCCTGTTATTATTATGCACTCAAACAAGAATTATGCTCCCTTTGCCTAGACAATATTATTACGACTGAAGAGGGAAGAGGAGGAGGCCGTGAGGTTCTCAGGCCCACATTTTTTAACTATCTCGCGGCACATTTCTATGGATCTGCCTCATAATATAATAATAATCTACTAACTGTCTATGATACACTTCCATAAATCAGTATAATAATGCACTCTGTGTTGAGAAGTAGAAATGCACGGAAGGTCAATGTTAAAGCGAACAGGCGACGGTTAGTGCAACAAATTCCAACATCATATCTGAGAGTGGAGGTGGAGGCGGTCACTGTAGCTTTCCTTAGCTTGAGAACTAGCTGCGCACAAATGTGATTGTAAGACTCACAAAGCAGGTTGAGAAAGGCAGAGACAGATATGCTTCTTGCAGAGTGGCAAGCATCATTTCAGAGGTTCATGGATTTGTTTCCAGTTCATGCAGGTGTGTTAGGAAACGAACAGATAGACGAACTGTTGCTAAGGGGCTAAATGCGATGAACGATATCTAAGAATCATATCAATTAGTTAAATGGAAAAAACAAGAATAGACCCACTGTCTACCCAAAAGCATGTCGTAAGAGTCGACTAATTGGGAGCTTTCTTCCAAGTCGGAGTACATCTGCCTGAAAGGGAAGGAACCAACAGTCTGCATACAAATCTGTCAAAAGGATGCACACGCAACACTCAGGTTCTGGAACAGGACTGCAGTCCAGAAATGGACGAACAACCAGAACTTTCTGCCGGAGTTTACAGCCGGTGAACGAGAAGAAGAAAGAAGAAGAATTAGTTAATAAGTCAGTCTTACCGATTACCAGATGTACAGACACCGCAGTCGTATCCATAGTAAGTGCCCAGATATGCAGGCTATGGACAGTCACCACGCCATCTATGTCTTCTAGATCTTTCTTCAAGGACGCAAACCCGATTCCTCTCGGAACACCTGTCCACAGACATAAAACATACCAACAGAGGTTAGGGTTCGTAACATTAAGCTGGTTAACTAAAGCATTCTTTTACATGCCTTCTTGCGCATTCAGCATATAGTACCTATATTTTATTCCAGAAAGCAATGGCGAACTACTCGACGTAAGTGCGCCTAGAAAACCACAACAGCCAATGCTGGTGTTGGTTCTGCAACGTCCTGTTAAGGATACGCAACGAACACACACCTATATTTTATAGACCAATCGCATTAGGTTTTTGACCTGGTCAACGTCATGCTGACCGCCTTTACTTTCCAGGACTTCACCTGGTACTCCATGAAGACTGAATCGAAGCAGTGAAATTCACCTGTGTGCCTTTTGCACTCTGTAAAGGGACAAACAGGCCTGAAAATACACTTAAGTGAATTTCACCAAAATTGCACGTAAGTGATTTTTGACTTAGCCTAGTAGTTGTTTTCCTTCTGAAATCACATGTAATGACTCCAGTCTAGGAAACTACCAGAATTGCAAACACTGCTGACACAACCTAGCCTTCAGAAAAGAGTTGTAATGCAGTGGATACCATCACATTGTGGAGTGCCTGGAAATGAGAAAGCTGATCAACTGGCAGGAGAAGGTGCGACAAAAGTGCAGCCGGATGTACCAGTCACATACGACCAAAAAAAAAAGAATAATTAAATCAATCAGGAAACCACCAGCCCCAGCACAAGACGACTATTTTCTTTTGGACGGATCAGAACAAGCCACTATCCTCCGCCTCAGAACAGGGCACAACCGATCACGTAACCACATGTACACACAATTCAAGATAGGCGTATCAACCATGTGTACCTGTGAAAAGGTGCCCCAGACAGCAGAGTATGTACTCCAGGACTGCACAGAATTTGACACATTAAGGCAAACCTTATGGTCGGAAAGAACAACAGCGGAACGTAAACTCTATGGACCACTGAATGAATTAACAACAACAGTGACATTTATACAAGAGACAAAACTGCTGATATAGACAACTTATTTCAGGCGAACGAAAGAAGAAAAAGAAGACATGTAATGAAATCCAGATCTCAGAGTCAACATGGCAAATGGAGAGCTACCGTGGTGGAACGAACTGACGCTCGCATACGGATGTGACGGTCGCTGGTTCAAGACCTGCGTAGACGGTAACGCCTGTAACATAGGGGCCAGATAGCCAGCCCTGTCGCCACAGACTGTAAGATTAGGATTTTTAATTTTGCCCCCCCGACTTTAAAACTTCATCACCCTAACTGAGGGTCACACCGGGGTCGCCCGCATGATAGCCCGACGCTATACCGCTCCGCCACCCTTCCTGATTTTATTTGATTTTATTAAGAACCGACATCACAGCACTCAGGGCATTCCTATAAGCGCCCCGTCACCATCTTCAGCAGCCAGCTAAGAGTTCCGATACTAATGGTGCCAGTAACATTCTGATTAAACGTCCGTCTTGCCTTTTCTCTGAGCCTCGAGCATCTGCCAGAACCTCTCGCCACTTCCCCCTGCATCAGTCTTACCAGACTGGGATGATCCATCTGCCGATTCGCTGTACACGCTTTCCCATAAGGCACTAAGCACGTCTGCGTTATCATGCATCAATATTCCAAGAAGTTGTGCAGAGCCAGCCAGTCTGTCCGCCTGTTCATTTCCCAACACATCGGCGTGACCCGGTGAAAAAATCCAGACAATACTCCTCACCCGTGTCCTCCGCAGCGATGCATGCCACTCTGCACGAAGCATACCTGTCCTGATCTTCTTCAGCATGCTTTCTGTGTCAGTTAAAACCACGCTGTGTGTGTGTGTCGCCTTCTCTAGCCAGCGGAAAGCTGCAGTGACCGTCTCCACCTCCATTCTAAAGCCGGATGTTGTGGTATCATATCGCCAGCATTCCTATTTATTGTTAGTTAGTCAAGTCTTGAGACTGGAGTTGCGCATAGTCTGTCGGTTCGTTGCCGCCTGTTTTAGGGTTTGGATGTTCTTTAGGCACATTGTTGAGCCTTCCCCTATAATAGTTCAATGCAGTTGTCTCTTTGTTTTCCCCGTTTTCTTTTTCTTTCCGGTGTCCGTATGATCTATTGCAAATACGCCACTCAGTTTACATCTCGAACTTAGCGAAAAAAAAAAAAAAAAACACACCCCATGGCTTCATGCCTCCGCCACTTATGCAGAAAATTAAACATGCGAAAGCTACCAGTTACTTGTACCATACTACGATGCTAGCCGTGCACGAGTACTATCAACAGGGAAGTGACGAGGAAAATATCACGCCATGTCCTCTTCATTGGGATCGTTACCTGTTAACGGTTACACATACGAAATTATCACACCTCGCCACTAGCGTGGACTTACCTTCCATAAAAACAGTTATCACGTCCCGAAGGATGGCCATAGTAGTGATGAGCACCACCAAAGAAAATACAAACGTACATATCGGGTCTGCCAGCTTGTACGCCTGGCTAGGCTGAGGGGAAAAATGCAGAGAAAACACTGAAATTAAATAAAAAGGGAAACAAACAAGTTATGGTGGAATTTGTTGCTTGCCATATTCTGCCATGTTTTGCCGGGAGCAGAATTTACATCAGTGTATCGTCTTCTTTGTTTGCTACTTTAAATGGAGGTGGGCAATTATATTGTGGTTTATAGCTAGGCTGTGATGTCGGTGTCATTCAGCCCAATAATCTGATTACAATAGGACCTTAATTTGTCGATTTTGCCACATGTGTAGGGGAAATATGCAGGCTGTTTGCTGTCCCGAAATGTTGCCCGAAACCACACGTTCGATTTCGTTTAGAATAACTTGAACTTCTACGGGTGTAATGACATTTGTTTTTTTACTTTGCGCGTGCAAGCTTCAAGCTTTTTGCCGGGACTGACATGTTTTTCACTAGTTTTCAAATTGGACAGTGAAAGATATCTTGTGTGATTCCGCCTGGAATACAAAGAGAGCAGTTATGGGGATTTTGTCTGCAGGAATGCTGGAACCTCAACTAGCGGCTAACGAACTTCTGACGTCACAAATTTCTCTTTAATCCCTTGCCTTGAGTCTAAAAGATGGTGTGCTGTGTTTTGTTCGCTTTTTCTTGACTGATTTTATTTCATGTGTAGAAGCTCCACTATTTGTGAGTGTAACTATTGTACAATGTGCTAGCTTACTTTTTTTCGACATCAAAGTTCCAGCTCACTTGGCGCAGTCAGTTACAAAAGCCAACATTACACTAGAAGCAGTACATACGATCCTGAACGCAATCGACCACCCGTTATTATAGTGCAGGCAACAACACGTAACGGGAACACCAGAAAGAAAAAGAAACTGCAATTTCCTACACGCAATCCACAGCTCACAGTGTCCATCAGAACACCAAACGTAGTAGCTGGGCGACGGAACCTATGGACTCCCGGTCCAGAAATGGGGAATTTCTATCAACAAAACCTAGCTGGAAACGAGTAACTTTTTTTAAGGCGTCACCAGTCAGTCGGCCTACTATCGTCCATGTTTGCCTGCAGTCAGGGTGGTGGCCTAATCGTGACGAGAGAAAGAAATGTTGTAGATTGTATCCATCCGTCCATAGTGGAGACCGCATCTAATTGATGGAATAACGTTTTATAACTTCTGGAATCACCAGCAGAATTATAGAAATATAACTGGAAACAACACAGATCTACATTAACACTGGCAAATGATAAATTTCAATCGAAAGAACACGATTTATCAATCAAACAGTCAAACATTTATTTATCAATCAGCAAGTCCTTTACAGAACGTAGCTCTCTTCACGGTACGCCTGAAAGTATCACTTTCCCTAGCCAGCTGTCCAGCCCTGTGTGCTTTCATTGCCAATGTTTCTTCAATATACTGTATCTATCTTCGCGAAAGTCGACCCCTGCCTCGCTTTCCGAAACCTGCACCCTCCATCATCGTCTTTTCCAAGCCACCATGACATATGAAGTGACCAAAATACTTCAACTTTCGTGACAGGATGCTGTTTATGAGCCACTTCTCCTTGATGTTTAACTCGTGCAGAATGTCGATGTTTTTCCTCTTCTGGATACATGATATTGTGAGAATATTTCTGTAATTTTTCGATTCAAAAGCTCCAATATTTTTCCTCAATGACTAAATAGGAGTCTAGGACTCACAACCGTAAGCTGCCACAAGAAAAATTCTTGATCTCAAGATTTTTACTTCAACCAATGTACTAGTGCTTTGTCAAAGGCTCTTCATGCTGTTTAAAGCTCTGGATCGCTAATGCAAGTTTTCTTCTGACTTCTTCCCGTCAGTCTTCACTTTTGTTCACTACAAAGAGCACTACAAACTTTCATTACTTCAAAAGAAACATGGAATACACTTGATGAAACCTATTCTAAAACTGACCAGTTCCCATCTAACTAACACGATTCATTAATCAGAAAATCAAAGCAAACTTGATTAAATTCCTCTCTAAAAATGATTAATTATTATCAAAACACGTGAGTTTTTGAACAAACAGAAAACACAAAGGGACAGACGAGAAACTCACAGCAAATTTGATCACCAAGGCAGAGAGCAGCACCCCCAGGCTCTGAATAGTGTCACCGATCACGTGGATGAAAGCCGCTCGTACGTTGATGTTCCGTGGTTTCTTGGGCTGTTGAGTTTTCTGTGTGGCCTTGTCTTCCTCTTTGTCAGATTCTGTTTTGTGGTGAAGAGAATGTGGTTGAGCATCACTTGTGATTCTGAGGTTATATGCAAATATTCTCACCACAGACGAAATGCTACATAAAATGTCTTAGAATCATCATTATCATCAATTTGAATTGGCGAAGTTTAACCGTTAACCTAGGGAGCTAACCTCTCCTAGATAACGTTAGTTATCATTTGTGCGTTTCCTAGTGTTGTAGCTCCTATGTCTGTCGAGCTAGGTTTTCTGCGTGTTGTTTGTAGCGCCGTCATCTTAGTGATGACTAGCTAGTTAAGTGCTCTTTACGTTGCCTGATTATATGCACTCTGCCACTGGCTACTGTCCGCTGTTTCATTTTTGTTTAAGTATCCAGAAGCCATGAGTTGTTAACCCTTAGGCTCGGTATTATGGATACCGCAACCCTTCGGCCTTGATTCCATGATAAATACCGTAAATCTGGGAGAAATGTGGCTTTTCTGCCTACCCCCGGGCGTGAGCCCAGACCACAAGGAGTTCGGCACCCGGTCACCGCGCAGTCTGGTCTTGCCAACTACGCTAGTGAGCAGGGCGCTAGTTCATTTTATAATGTATCTGCTAGTGTGGTCGCTCTGTTGAAGTCAGCCATGTGGTTTGTTCCATCGTGTGATATGTCGATGGCTTCCACTACACGGCATATACGAGAAGGATCTCAGCTGTTGTCTTGATCTTGCTTTGGCATTCGACTATAATGGACTAAGAAGAAGAAAAACACCGACAACCTTCAAGGAGCATTGGCTTATAAACAGCACCCTGGCCCAAAATCTCAGGTATTTTATTTCCACGTTAAAGGCCACGGTGGACTGGAGAGAATGTCGATAGAGGGTACAGATTTTGTAAAACGAAGTAGAGACCGACCTTTGCGAATGTGGATACACGACATTGAAGATTCATTGGCTGTCAAAGCACATAGGGCTCGAGAAGAGACCAGATAAAGGGAGACGTTCAGACATACCGGGTAGAGAACGACGTTCGGTTAAAAACCTGCTGATCGATAATAACTGACCAAAGACACATGTTGACTAATGTAAGATGCAATTTTATAAGATATTACAATAGCTGACAGACTGCGGACACTCATACATACAAATTCTGACGTCCACGTGTGAAATCCAGGGCCTTTGCGCCGGGGGGGGGGGGGGGGGGAGGTCCCCGACCTCCCCCCTCCCAACAGACACACACATACACAGACAAACGTGTGTGTTATTTTCGAAGTTAGATTGCATTTACTTAGAGGCGAGAAACCAGCAGACTGCATTCATATGTTTGATCTGTAAAAGGGATGCGCAGGCAAAACTCAAGTTCTTGAACGCGAATACAGTCCATAATTGGACGAACAACCAGAACTTTCTGCCGGAGTTTACAGTTGGCGAACGCTAAAAGAAGGAAGATCAGAAATATGACAGAATGGAATACAGCAGTTTCAGAGACTGCACGTATACATACACAATGCCACTGTTAATATAGCACAGTCTGAGAGACTGCACGTATACATACACAATGCCACTGTGAATATAGCACAGTTTAAGAGACTGCACTTATACATACACAATGCCACTGTGAATATAGCACAGTTTGAGAGACCGCACGTATACATACACAATGCCACTGTGAATATAGCACAGTTTAAGAGACTGCACGTATACATACACAATGCCACTGTGAATATAGCACAGTTTGAGAGACTGCACGTATACATACACAATGCCACTGTGAATATAGCACAGTTTGAGAGACTGCACGTATACATACACAATGTCACTGTGAATATAGCACAGTTTGAGACTGCACGTTTACATAAACAACGCCACTGGGAATATCATTAAGGTAAAAAAGAAAAGACACGGAAAGCAGACTGATATAAGATAAAGCAACATAATATATGAGAAGATTCTATGTTATAATATCACTCTTTTCATCCCTTGTGGGATGCAATTTTTCGTTATTTGAAGCCCTATTTTGGCTCTTGCCAGGGGCCGCAATTTAGCCCGGCCATAAATATGGTCTAATGGCTGAACGCGGTTTCTGGGACCTCTCCACGGGTGATCCTCATCCACATAGTGGCACTTTGTGTCATCGGGTGTTTATCGCTTGTGTGATGTCCTGGTTGGGTAAAAGGAGAGAGAGAGAGAGAGAGAGAGAGAGAGAGAGAGAGAGAGAGAGAGAGAGAGAGAGAGAGAGAGAGAGAGAGAGAGAGAGAGAGAGAGAGAGAGAGAGAGAAAGTTTCTATGTTGAGAGACTGTGTCAAGCAAACAACCTCAAGTACTGCATGAGGCATATAACAGTATTCTTCTACTTATGAGACGTTCGACCTTAAATGGGAGGTTGGCTTATAAAGTTCTGATTGACAGCTGTGCTGTAATATCTACGTCTTACGTCCAATTTTGAGAGCGCCGTGGTCTAGCGGCTAGACGCTCACCTCCAAATCGGAAGTTCGTGGGTTCAGGGGTTAGGGACTTTTCTCAAAAATGACCTTGGCTTCCAGATCAGCCCAGCCTTGAGTGAGTATCAGCTACAGTGAGTAAGTAACCTAAAGGACCCTTTTCCACGCCTCTAAGCGAATAGGACATATAGGGCTAGACATATATTTTCTATAGACCAATCGGCACAAGATAGGTGATGTTGTCAGCATCTTGCCGGCCGCCTTTACTTCCCGGGACTGCACGCGGCACCCACTCAAGGCTGGGTCGACCTGGGAGCCAAAGTTATTTTTAGAAATTAGTCTGGCTCTGCCAGGGAGCGAACCCACAACGTTCTAATCCGCGGCGAGCGTCTAGCCACTCGGCCACGGCAACTCCCACCAGCTACAGTCATGGGAGGTAAAGACGGCCGACGTGATGCTGATCACATCCAACAACTGCTGTTTGGTCTATTAAAAAAAAGGTCTAACCCTATATACCCAAAACGCCTGAACCGTGGACAAGAGTCCTTTGCTTGAATTCGATTTTTAGCAAATCCTTAATTATTCGTCGATTAACACCTGATTGTTAATAATCAGTGGATCTAAATCATCCCACTTCCTCCTGTTTGTTTCGCTCCAAATAGAGCTCCAGAACCCACAAGGGGAATAAGACACTATAATTGATAGTACAGATGATAGGCTCACAGGTCAACTCAGCCTTGAATGGGTTCCAGATGAAAGTTCTGTGAATGAAAAGGTAGCCGACATGATGCTGTCCATATCCCCCCAGAAAGTGCCGATTGGTCTATAAAATAAAGGTCCTTGTTTAAACTATTACTCATGTATGATAGGTGGAACATCAAGCAGAAAGAAACACACGGGAAAACATCCGCTACATCAATTGTAAGCGTTGCTCGTGTGGATACTAACTTTGAGGGGCACCGTTTTCCTCATTGACAGATGCCACCTTGGCCTCGATGTCCTCGTGCGCGAGCTGGCTCTTCTCAGAGGGTTCACCGTGAGAATGTCCAAGACCGCCATGGGCGTGAATGCCACCGAAACAGGCGTCCGAGTGGAGAGAGATGCCCATTCTGTGGACAGAGGTACAGAAATGTTGCAGCGATCAGGGATGATTACATAATCAGGAAAACAGTAAAGAGTATAGTTCGCATCTTCATCATACTCTAAACAGCAAACACCAAAAGGGGGTAGGGATGTAGAGCACAAGGTAGATCAAGAACAAGATGGAAAAATGGCGTCATAGAAACTCTACAACAGCACGAGGCGTCTATGGCCAAGGATGCCAAGAAGAGCAAGAAGCGGAACCCTGTATCTCCCTCGACACCTGAAGCGGTAAAAAGGATGCAAAGAAGGTGAAGAATGAAAGTTGTGGGTAATAGATCTCCAGAACATTCTATTGTGATTTCATGGCATACATTATAAACTGGAAGATCATCATTATCATCATCATTTTCATCATCATCGCCATCATCATCATCCGCAACATCATCATTATTATCATCATCATCGCCATCATCATCATCATACTCAACATCATTCACATAATCACCAAACAGCATGTCATTTACAGAACGACGCACTCGTCACGGCTGGCCCGAAAGTCTCTGTTTCTCTAGCCCTAATTCTCCAGCCTTATGTAGTTTCATAGCCAATACATCTAGGGTGTCTTCTATCCACGTTTTCGAAGGTCTGCCTCGTTTTCTGGAAACGGTATCCTCCATCATCGTTCTCTACAGCATCAGTTCTCAGCATGTCGTTCGCGACCCTTTTTGGGGTCGAACGACCCTTTCACAGGGGTCACCAAGGACCACCTGAAAACACATATTCATTGTAGCTAAGGCGGAAAATAATTGTTTAGGGGTTGCCACAACATGAGGGAACTGTATTAAAGAGTCGCGACATTAGGAGGTTAAGAGCCTCTGCTCTACAGGTTTTCACGACTTTTAACAGGGCCCACATACCTAGGCTTGCGGGACACAACGCCGATACAGTCAATTCTGACATGAACGATCAGACCAATCATTAATGAAGGCTTAGATAGAGATTTGACCACAAGAATACCAGACCGGCATGCCAGCGGACTAGCGACTGTCGTATCATGAATTAAATGTGTGGGTTCTGGGGCCCAGTTTGGGGTGTATAGACCCACCTTATAACATGCGTGTCGTAAAAGTCGACTAATTATTGTTTTCTTCGTAGTCGTAGTGTATCTGCCTGAGAGACAAAAATCCAATTGACTAGATGTGTAATACGGACGTGCACGCAATACTCAAGTTCAGTATTAAAACTTAAAGTCCATAAGAGGCTAACAATGACATCTTTCCGACCGAGTTAACAGTAGGGTAACGCAAAATATGAGGGGAAGGAGCAGGAGAAGGAGGAGAAGAAGAAGATGAAAAGGAAGATCGAAGATTTAATAATAATAATACTAATAATAGTAATAATTGTGGCTGTAACAGCAGAATTAGTATTAGTACGAACAGTTGTAGCAGTAGTAATGGAAAACGGAGCGTGAGGTTCATTAACTTGTATCACCCCCATCAAATACAATATTTATGGAAGGGGGGGGGGTGGGTGGTGCAGGGCGCACCCTCCCCCACGCTGTCAAAATGTTTAATAGGCTGAACCTTCACTAATTATGTTTTAGGGTTTAAGCGATCCTCCTAACCATGTATAGACATTAGGCCTTTCATATGATTTCAAATACATCAGTATATATATATTTTTTTTTAAACCATTTAGCACATAATATTAATATTATCATATTTGCGCCCTTAAACAAGACTTGAGCCCCTTAACAAATAAATGATAAGGATTTCTTGATGGTAGATCGCCTAGTAGTAATAATAGTAGTAGTAGTAGCAGCAGCAGCAGCAGCAGCAGCAGCAGCAGCAGCAGCAGCAGCAGTAACAGATGTAATAGTAAAACAAGCTCACATGATGTTGAATAGAAGACCCATAGCCGCGGTGACCAGCATCTCGTCCGGCTTGACCTGCGTGTAGTGTCCATGGACGATCCTGTCTGCAGCTATGTAGCACAGGACGCCGCTGACCACCCAGATAAAGATCACGCTGAAGAAGGCTCCCAAAATTTCTAACAGGACATATCACACGAGAACATTAAATGTATAGGGTGTTCGTAAAGTCTCACTAGAGTTTGTTTGAATAACAAATTGGAAAACCCAAGTACACTACATCTCAAGGATATTTTTGTTTTAACGAGTAGTTTGTTCGTCTACTGTTACAAATCTAATTAATGTAATAAGACTCGCACTGAATTATAGATAAAGCACACATTCTGACCAAAAAGTATCTCCATACTTTCTGTTTCACTCGTGGAAAATCTAGTCCTCCTCTTTTTAATTATATTTTGTTATGTTGGGTGGGTGGTTAGTGTGTGTGTGTGAGTGGGGGGGGGGGGGGAGGGGTAGGTTGGGGAAGAGGTTTTACCATATACTCAAGAGGGAGTGGAGGCCTTGCCATTTACTCACGGGGACATGAAGGCCTTGCCATTTACTCACGGGGACATGGAGGCCTTGCCATTTACTCACGGGGACATGGAGGCCTTGCCATTTACTCACGGGGGCATGGAGGCCTTGCCATTTACTCACGGGGGCATGAAGGCTTTGCCATTTACTCACGGGGGCATGGAGGTCTTGTAATTTACTCACGGGGACATGGAGGCCTTGCCATTTACTCACGGGGACATGGAGGTCTTGCCATTTACTCACGGGGACATGGAGGCCTTGCCATTTACTCACGGGGACATGGAGGCCTTGCCATTTACTCACGGGGACATGGAGGCCTTGCCATTTACTCACGGGGACATGGAGGCCTTGCCATTTACTCACGGGGACATGGAGGCCTTGCCATTTACTCACGGGGACATGGAGGCCTTGCCATTTACTCACGGGGGCATGGAGGCCTTGCCATTTACTCACGGGGGCATGGAGGTCTTGTCATTTACTCACAGGGTCTGAAGGTCTTGTCATTTCCTCACAGGGGCGTAAAGGTCTTGTCATTTACTCACAGGGGCGTAACGGTCTTGTCATTTACTCACAGGGGCGTAAAGGTCTTGTCATTTATTCACGAGTGCATGGAGGTCTTGTCATTTACTCACGAGGGGCATTTAGGTCTTGTCATATACTCACGGGGACATGGAGGTCTTGTCATACATGCACACATTTTTCACGTAAACATCGATCACGAAAAACGCTGCAAATACATTTTAATTACATAATAACCACTGCACATGTTATTGCTGTATCACTGTGCCCTGATCATGTAAATGTACAATATGAATGCATAAATGTTAAAAAAAAAAAAAAAAAAAAAAATTTACGTTGGGGGAAAACAACAACAAAGGCTTTTATTTGGAAATGGGGAGTAGGGAAGGGGTGGGTCACCTTTCATTATGACATCAACTAATCTCACTTTTAGTGATGGATGTCCTGATGTTTAATCTGTTGATGGATGTCCTGATGTTTCATCTGGTGATTGATGTCCTGATGTTTCATCTGGTGATGGATGTCCTGATGTTTCATCTGGTGATGGATGTCCTGATGTTTCATCTGGTGATGGATGTCCTGATGTTTCATCTGTTGATTGATGTCCTGATGTTTCATCTGTTGATTAATGTCCTGATGTTTCATCTGGTGATTGATGTCCTGATGTTTCATCTGTTGATGGATGTCCTGATGTTTCATCTGGTGATTGATGTCCTGATGTTTCATATGGTGATTGATGTCCTGATGTTTCATCTGTTGATTAATGTCCTGATGTTTCATCTGGTGATTGATGTCCTGATGTTTCATCTGGTGATTGATGTCCTGATGTTTTATCTGGTGATTGATGCCCTGATGTTTCATCTGGTGACTCATGTCCTGATGTTTCATCTGGTGATTGATGTCCTGACGTTTCATCTGGTGATTGATGTCCTGATGTTTCATCTGTTGATTAATGTCCTGACGTTTCATCTGGTGATTGATGTCCTGACGTTTCATCTGGTGATTGATGTCCTGATGTTTCATCTGGTGATTGATATCCTGATGTTTTATCTGGTGATTGATGTCCTGATGTTTCATCTGGTGATTGATGTCCTGATGTTTCATATGGTGATTGATGTCCTGATGTTTCATCTGTTGATTAATGTCCTGATGTTTCATCTGGTGATTGATGTCCTGATGTTTCATCTGGTGATTGATGTCCTGATGTTTTATCTGGTGATTGATGCCCTGATGTTTCATCTGGTGATTGATGTCCTGATGTTTCATATGTATTTCCAGACCACTCACCTGCACTTGTTTTTTTCCCCCCTTTGTAAAGATGCTATCTAAAGTTGTTTGTTGTGCGTATGCGTGTGTGTGTGCGTGTGTGTGTCTGTGTGTGTGTCTGTGTGTGTGTGTTTGTGTGAGTATGTGTGTGTGTATTTAATTTTTAATTTCCGAAAGTGAATAAGTAAATTTTAGAGCAGAACATCAGGGAGGAAGGCGAGAGGAGGACCAAGAAAGAGATGGATGAATGGTGTAACTGAAACCTGCGGTAAAGTTAAACAAATCCATCACTCAAACCACCCGAGAAGCGCAAGACAAATAAAGAAAAATACGACACTGGGCTACAACCTGGTATCAGTGAGACGACAAAAGAAGAAAAAGAAAGTAAATGAACACACAAGCATGAAATAAGTTAAGATGGAAATAAACTATAACGATGCTTGGGTACCATTTCTGTAGGAAAACCTTAATTTTTTGCCCAAGTGGACCGTCATTCCTTAAATTCGGTACATCGAACAAGACAACCATCTTCTCTTTCCTAGTATGATGAAATTTCGCTTACTGCCCAAGCTTCATGTTCTCTATGAAGCTTGAGTAATTGTTGTGTTGTGAGACCCGTTCTATAATTCTGCTCGCCGACCACTCAGGAGGAAAGACGAATATTAGCTTTTTAGGCGAATAGCATACACAAGCTTCCACGAAAATATCAGAGGCGTATAGTACATGCTTCTCTCTACATGGTAGTGGAGGAAGGGTACCCCCTTCTGCTTTAACCGTTCTTAATTGGCGGGAGGGGAGCCTCTAGGTGCTGCGCTCCCAGTTTGCGACGTCGATGACGGGTACCATTGACAATACTCGCACTGTGCTCGAAGATGGAGACAAAGACTTTATCGGAATTAAAGTGTTGAGATTTCAGATCCTAACTATACTCTTCCTCCTCCAGCAACAGCAACTACTACTTCCACTGCTGATACATCAACAGCAACAACTACTACTACCACTACAACTAATGCTGCTGCTATTACTATTACTGCTGCTGCTGCTACTACTACTTAAATACTACTACTTCAACTAATATTTTTTTAACTGCTGCTGCTGCTGCTACTACCACCACCACCACCACCACCACCACTACTACTACTACTACTACTACTATTACTACTACTACTACTACTACTACTACTACTACTACTACTACTACTACTACTACTACTACTACTATTTCTGTTACTACTACTTCGACCACTACCACCGCTACTACTACCACTACTACTATTTCTGTTACTACTACTACTACCACAACCACTACTACTATTTCTGTTACTACTACTACTACCACCACCACTACTACTATTTATGTTACTACTAGTACTACCACCACCACTACTACTATTTATGTTACTACTAGTACTACCACCACCACTACTACTATTTATGTTACTACTAGTACTACCACCACCACGACTACTATTTCTGTTACTACTAGTACTACCACCACCACTACTACTATTTCTGTTACTACTACTACTACCACCACCACTACTACTATTTATGTTACTACTACTACTACCACCACCACTACTACTATTTATGTTACTACTACTACTACCACCACCACTACTACTATTTCTGTTACTACTACTACCACCACCACTACTACTACGACTACTACTACCCCTACTACTACAACTACAAATATTATTATTAATACGACTTTTTCTACTACTATTACTATTTATATTACTGCTACTACTACTATTACTTTTACAACAACAACAACAACAACCTTAACTACTACTAATATCACTACTGCTACTATTTCTTCTACTTCTACTACTACTACTACTACTACTACTACTACTACTACTACTACTACTACTACTACTACTACTACACAGAACAGTTAGTACCTGCTCTGTGATAGCCAAAGGTCATCTTCTGGGTCATGGGTTTGGAGGCCAGCCAATGAGCGGACAGACAGAC